AAATTCCTTCGCCTTAGTAAGCTAGCTTTGTAAGCTAAGCAAGCCTGGTTCTCCGGGCTTTCTCCCTTCTCGACCAGACGAAGGAGATATGAATTCCATTCAGGCGGGTAAGGGCTTGGCTTGACCGTGTCTTTTCTCGGGTCGGAGGCGAAAACTGGAAAGTTCATCATTCAGTGGTGGGCTGTTCATAGAAAAGAAGGCGTCGCCCAACGAGTGGCAGATCTGGATAGAGTCTCGCTCATAGATAGAGGAAGAGTACGCGCGCTACGGCTTAGGCAGTTGATCGGATCAGATAGCCCTTCGGGCAACCAACCAAACCCGGCACATCCAATTCCATTCCGATCAACAACTTGGAGGTATGGCTGAGTGGCTTAAGGCATTGGTTTGCTAAATCGACATACAATCTTCTTGTATCATGGGTTCGAATCCCATTTCCTCCGGCACGGAAATGAAAGGGGCGGGCGAAATTACGTGAGAGAAAGAACCTCTTGGTGGAGTTCAGTCCCCCGAATAGCACTACTTAGTGACTAGGTGATCGGCTCAGATAGCCTTCTTTTTCTTTGACCGGCCTATCTTCTTTCTATAAGCAAGCTCCCTCCGGCCGTCCAGGGACTGGACGGCTCTCGGTTCTTGAGGGGATTAGGCGGCAGTTGAAAGAGCTGCTCGAAAGCTTGACGAACAAGCGAAAAAGCCTATATATTCTTATTAGTCAAGGGCTTTTCCCTTACTAGTAAAGTGGTAAGGTAGCGCGCTATTCGATGAAGAAAACATACTTTAGGAAAGTTGTTCAGGTAGCTCAGCTGGTTAGAGCAAAGGACTGAAAATCCTTGTGTCAGTGGTTCGAATCCACTTCTAAGCGGGCGAAGGGTCCAAAGGACACGTAGCCGGGAGCAAGCCGGATTTTAAAATTCAAGTGAAAGAGTCAGCCAAAAAATGTGAGCGCTCCTGCACTATACGGCTTTTTGGCGTCCCCCTATCTTGTCTTGCTGGAGGCAGATTTTCTAAAAAAAGCGGTTGATTATTCGGATTGGTTCTCGCATCCCTGTGCCCAAAAGGATGGGCGAGTTCGGTTTGAGTCTTCATCGATCGGGTGGATCTATATGCTTCGGGGGGTGAGACGAGGTGTAGCGCAGTCTGGTCAGCGCATCTGTTTTGGGTACAGAGGGCCATAGGTTCGAATCCTGTCACCTTGATGTGGGGCCCCTCAAACGTAAGTAACTCAGTGCATGTGCCTTTCTCAACAGAAAATGCAATTACGAACGATCTCGCGAATTCTGTCACGAATGAATGTAGTACCCGCGATGAACACTCTCCCGGATCGGATTCTTAACTATCTGATAACTCATATGAGTGAGTACATTTTTGTGCTACCTCCGTTTCTCTTTATTATTGCTATATGGAGGGTGGCCCGCCTAAGGGGCGTTACCTTGGATAATTATAAGGAAAAGGTAGACGAAAGTCTAGCCGAAACCTTGAAGGAACAGATTGGAGATCGCTTCTTACGACCACTCCTTGAACAACAGGGGGTTCGACTCCCCCGTGGGACACAACCCATGGATTTGTTAGATAGATTGGTGCAAGCTGACCCAAACAATCTGAACGTATTAACAACAATTTACCAAAGAGAGGACTATGTTAAGCCGGAATGGTGGGGAAGGAGGCCCGTGGATCATTGCGGACCATTATTTTACTATACGGAAATGGTCTACAAATTTCAGACCATCAGTGGAGATTTTCTCCAAAACAATGGTTTGGGTTCGTTTCCCTGAGCTACCAATCGAGTACTATGATAGGGAATTCTTATTCATGTTAGGAGCGACCATCGGTAACCCAGGGAGAGTAGACGCCACAAGGGAAAATGCGATGAGAGGTAAATTCGCAAGACTTTGTGTGGAGGTCGATTTCAACAAACTGCTTATCTCACGAGTAAAAATCGGCCGTTTCCATCAGAGAGTGGAGTATTTTTGTCTACACACCATCTGCTTTTCTTGTGGTAGAGTGGGCCACAAAGTTGAGCAATGTATTGGATCGTCATCAGAGAGCAAGGAGGAGAGGGAAAACAACTTGTCCCCGCTGATGAGTAAGTCCTCTCACCCAGATGAAGGTGCTTATGGCCCTTGGATTCAAGCCCAAAGGAGAGGTAAAAGAAAGCGGAGCACTACAAGCAAACCAAAAAGAGGAGCTACGCCGGCAAATAGGGCCCCGGCATCGGTGCCAGAGAAGGGGGTTCACGTTTCTCAATCCTTACCGAGGGAAAACCGGATAACGGCTCCAAACAAGATGTCGTGACGTCATCACAGGTGGGGCCCCCCCTGCGCCTAGCTGTAGAATGGATTCAATCAGCGATTTCCCTTTGCCTTGTTTTTTCCTTGTTCGGCTAATTAGCATTATACAGCTACTCCGCTAAAGAAAGCCTTTTAGCGAACGTTTTGGCATCGCCCCCATTACCGGGTCTCGGAAAGGCAGCTTAACAGCCTCTATTTGAACACGCCCCCGTACTGCCTTAATAGACTGACTTAGCTCCTTCTCCCCTGGGCAATGGACAATTGGATCTGGTTTGACTTTAAGTAAAGTGTGTCAGAGGCCAATGTCGGTACATTTAATCTTAAGTTTGAAACCTCAGATAAGGAATCCCCCGCTGAGGGTTGCCAACACGTCTCGTAGCATGGCTATAGACTCAGTTATCACTCAACCATGGATCACGTACCCCCCATCATCAACATTCTCGACATCGGACCCGGTCAATCGACATTAGGTTAGGAACATTGGACCCGGAACTTCCTTTAACGATTTCTATAGCGGAAGGGGAGTTATTCAAGCTTCTCATCGGGTAAAGACCGCGCCCCTATATTGAATCTTCAATCCCAAAGGGAAGGGAAAGCACTGTCCTTAACTGGACGGGGGATTGGGAAGGGAACTCAGGGCGGACAGAGAGATCCAGTGGAAAGGGCTGTCAGTCTAGGTACAAAGAAGACAAGCGGAAGTATTCTATTTGCTGGCCCTTCTAGATCTTTTATTAAGCCTAATATGCTCCTTTGACGGAAGCGGTCCATCTTATCTAAGCTCTACCAGACATCGAATGACTCTCCGAATCGGCAGGAAATTGTTCTCTCTTGTAGCAAGCGGTTTCATCGATTGGATCAGTGTGAGCAGACATGGATCCCCTTTCAATTTAAAGAGAACTAATCGAGTTCAGGTAGAATTGGCTCTTCGAAAGACACATCTAAAGAAGAAAGTCTTGTCTCACCTTCCACGTGCAAATCTACTCTCTTTTCGCTTCACAACAATCTCCTGAAACGCATAAGGCAATCTAAACTCTTCTCTCGACCCTTCTTTCTTGATAAGCCCAGGGCGTCTATAGGGGGCAGGGAAGAAAGTGGAATTGGGCCTAGAAACCAAGTAAATCCGTGCCATCTCGAGCGGTCAACTCATTTTGGCATCTCTTTCTTTAGCCTTACGCGAGGAAAGAGATATCCTTCGGCACATGGGCGAGCAGCTAGAATTAAAATCCCGTGTCTGCCTTCTTGGCTGAGCGAAAAGGAAACTAGTCAAGAGCAGGCTTTCGAAGGCACTTCCTTCTTCCAAGAGATGTCACGCAAAATGACTTGAAGGTGGCTAGACCGCAACTCGTGAATAGAAAGAATATTAAGAAGGCCAAAATCCATTCCAGCTCTCCTCGTCTAGAACATCAATAGCCCCGAAATCAACCTAAAAAAGTCCTACTCTTGCTTGAAACCTTCGGGCGGGAGAGCCTATTACCAAAAAAAGAAAAGAAGAAGAGTCGCCACTAGTCTATTTTCCAATTGGTAATGAAAACGGCTGCGGATGACGAAGAAAAGAGAAGGATAAGAATCCGGACACTTTCTAAGATTACATAGGGAGAACTAGCCTAAAATAAGAGAGCTCACTCTTTAACATTACATATGATATTTTGAAGTGTGGGAATGCGAGCCAAACTGAGATGCCTCTTCTCACCCTCACATGAGAGAATGCAAATAGGGATTCAGTACTTTCTTCCTATCCGGCTACAGGAAAATAAGAGAGCTCAATCAGAAGACTGAACTTCCCTGGCCTATAAAGTAGTCGAAGGATTTCTGAGAGAGAAGGAAGGACACGGAGTCACAAAGTCTTTCTTGAACTCTCGTTGTCAAGCTCCTCCTTCATTCTCGACCAGCCACCTATGGAAAGCGAATGCGAGTCTTGGCTCATCTGCAGAATGGAATCCCGCAATGAAACCCATCCCGGAAGAGAATCCTTACTTTGAAGTGGATGCATAAAAGACCATTAACATCTAGTCTAGCGCAGTACAGAGCGAAGGGAAAAGAGGAGCAACTACTCTAATAGAAGAAAGAAGTAAAATCTCCGTAGCTCAATGGCAGAGCAGTCAGCTACTCAGTCACTTGCACAGGACAGAAGACTTGTGTAAGTTCGACTCTTACCGGGGAAGGAAGAAATTGGCTTTCTAAAGTAGCAGCACCCGGGAGTTGTTCAACCAGCAGAAGGCGCGGCCAATAACAACAATGTACCAAATCCTTAATCAGTAGTGAACTGCTAGTTAACGCACTACTAAAGCAGAGTAGCCAGCACGCGCACATCATGTGATTTGCCAGAGGAGCTCAGAGCTCAGCGAATGGAAGAAGCAGGCAGGGATAGATAGAATTTGGTAGGGAAAAGTTCTTTCTTGGACTTGTTCCCAAATGAGATCAAAGATCTTTCAAGGCCTTGATTTCCTACTAAAGAAAGACGGCTTCTATCAAGACTTTTTTTATATGATATGAAAAGGTCGCAAACTCTCGCGATCACCAATGGGAGAGCCCAAACTCGTCTTTTTCTTAAAGAATCATGCCCTTCTGAATGGTTTTGGGATTGAATCACTCCCCGGGTCGGCACCCTCTTTCCCGAGGAACTATACTTTGACGTCGATATGCCTGAAAGGAAGATTCCTTTCCTATCCTGAACTTATATATTCATATAAGAGAACACGGGAAAGCTACCTTCAAAGGAAAGCGACAAAGAGGCAGACTCACCTTTACTGTTCCACCGATTAGACCCAAAGCCGTCAGTTGCTAGAAGGTGCTTGTGGAAGCGAAAGTGGTGCGAAGATGCGAGAGCGAGAAAGAAAAAGAGAAATGCCATTATAGAAGAAAGCTGATCTTCCCACTATGATAGCCTCAGTCCTTGCTTTCTAAGATGGAGATAGGAAAGAAAGAAGCTAAGCCAGTGACTGGTCCCAATGGGCGTCTTTAGGTTGGTGTAAAGTAGGCGCTGGAATCCCGGCATAGCTTGGCTTTATATATATATATAAATAGAAGAGTCGGAGAATTCTCTCATTCGCCCTTACTTAGATATCACACCAGAACAGGAGAACAGGAGTCGGAAATCACACCCCAGCTAACTGGACTTGAAGTCTTTTCCGAGGTTCACATACCAAGATGTTGAACTATCGCAGATGATCTCTCTCTTTAAGGGGGAATTCGAGAAGTCTTTCCTTTAGCACCACTCCTCTAGCTCTCTTTTCACTTATGTACTGATTTCTCATCAAAGACGGCTTGGAAGCAATTGAACCTTGCCCTTCGGAAATGAATAGAAGATCATGAGAAAATTTATTCTTTGTGTCATTCAACACAGCAAGATATATCCTTCGGTCGAGCTAACTCGGTCGATCTCTCGGGCAAGAAAGAGGATCTATCTTTCACAGGATCACAGAAGTATGAAATTGAACAATATTCTATATCTCCCTTCTTTCTGTCTTATTCCGGCTAATACTGTCTCCTTCTTATTATGAATTCACGAATTTCGTATAGAGGTTCACATCCTGTCACCTTGATGTGAAAAGAGACCTACCAAGGTGAAAAGTCCTTCTGTGTGTAAGATTGGACAGGGCTTCGTATGTAGATGAGATTGGGATGCCATCCGCATAAGTAAAGGGATGCCATCAGCATAGAGGTAATCATAGGTCGTAAAGATAGGACTGCCTTAAAGCTCGGGATACCTAAGTATGCAATCACCGGAGGACGAAGGAGCTTAACTCCAAAGAGAGTAGTTCTTCGGGTAGCGATTCACAGTACTTTCGTGCGAGAAGAAGCCTTTTTCTTCTAAAGATTGGGTAGGAAAGAAATGAGATAGAGTGCTTTCTTCTTCCTCTCCTTTCGTAGCTTCCTCACTCTAGAGAGAATGGGAAGTCACAGCATCAAGGCTTAGCTGCCTTGTTAATGCAGAAAGAACGTTGGCACTAAGCCTATTATTAACTAGGAAAAGGGATTACGAGCCAACAAATTGAGCTATTTTTAGGGCCTTAGGGAGGTCCCATATGCACTCGTAAGGCATGGACTCGCCCTTCCAATGCTAATTGCAGTAAGGGATGGAAGTCTTTCATCTTTCGCACATGCTCTGATTGGAGGAGGACAGCTCCACTTGGGACAAGGACCAGACTGGTTCACCATACATCCCCAGTTAACCATCGATCTCAAAGACACAAATAGTTGACGAGTATTGATGTTACAAGTATTCACCCAGGATTGGATTCACTCCATAGGGATGGATAAAGATCGCCGACCTCTTAGGTTGCATCTTCGTCTTGTAACCAAGTTCTACAACTCAGGCAGACCATGCTATAAAGGAGCCAGAGATCAGATCACATAACTCTATAGAATGAGCAAAAGACTGTCGATTAAAGCAGAAGTGATAGATCCATTCCAGCTCACCTGGCCAACGAAGTGGAATAGACCAGAAATTCCACAACGAAAATGAGAATTGTCTTCCAGAACGATTATCCAATCGGGAAAGAATCTACTCATCCGAAATCCAACTCTGCGACTACTTCAACCTCTATCAGCACAAATGATAACAAGAACTTCTTCAGCCAGTATGCCGACTATAATGGTTAAGGAAATAAAATACAAAGAGCAGGCACTCTACTGACAGTAGGCCTTCTACATCCGGCCGAAGAATCAATCGTAGGATGGCAGAGTCTTCCTATTCCGATGTACGAAGATGAACAACAACTGGGCAGTGAAAGTCATCTTACTCACATGATCCAAGTTATTGAAGATAATCGACAGCCAGCTCCTATCAAAAAAGAAAAGAAGTTCTTTCTTCCATTTATAAGATCCCTATTGCATGCTATCTAGGCTACTTGCATCTGTCTTTGGACTTGTCTTGAATAGGAAAGATTTATTTACAAGTCTTGCTAAAGCCATCTGCCATCTCACGATCAGTCTATTTCTTTCACTCGTCACCTGCAGTTGAAGTTAGTGCAGCACTGGAGGTTAAGTGTCTGATTATTGCAGGAGCGATCGTCAGTCTGACTATATAAAGAAATATAAAGAAGACAGGTCTTTCTTCTTCATTCTGCGCAAGACGCTGGTGTGAATGGCGCTAGAATAGATGAAAGCGGGACTCCGTGGTACATTTCCCATATCATAGTAAAGCCGATCTTCCCGCGAAGGGCTAGGAATGCAATTCAATGTGGTCGGTCAACCTTTTGATGCTATGTTAATCTTGGCCCTTTCTGCGAATGGGATAGATGGGACGTATTTAGAATGTTTTTTCCAATCTTTCAATAAGAAAGGCGAGGAAGGCAGAGAAAGATGTCTTCTCAGTCAATCATGGAACGATCTGTCCCCTCAGGATGTGTCCTATAGGCACAGAAGAGTCTATTTCTTTCTTCAGTCATTGATAGAGATGGCATATATCCAAATAGTAAAGCTTCTCAATCAAATAGGCTAAGCATCTCGAAATGGAATCCATCCAGCTAGGTATAGGGCAAGCATTGAACATTTAGTCGTAAGGTCGCTGGTCAAAAGTAGCGAAATAGCCGTTGAAAGAAAGGCCTAGACTGCTTCCGGCGGAGCATAGCCTCCTTCGTTCTCGTGCTTACTAGTGGAGCAATAAGGACGACGACCAAGTAAAAGAGGATCTTTGTCTTTGAAAAATATAGGCCAGCTATATGCTTAACAGTCCCAAGTCTATGTGAGATTGGTTACCGATGAAGAACTTGCTTCGGAAGGCAGTCCTTATGTAAGCAACTTGGTTATGAATGCCCGATCTACCATCCTTTATAGTTTTCCTCTTCTCCTTAGAAAAAAAAGAAGGATAAGGCGAAGGGATAAGAAGACAGTTGTCTTTAAGACTTCTCCATTCCGCTTTCGATTTCCATGCTTTCAAGAAAATAAGGCTATCCAGTTGTTGGAATCCCGTAATGAATCGTATAGCCCTTTTGATGATGTCCGAATGCTTCCTTTTTGGACTGACACTTTCTTCGGTGTGCACCCGAAAGGTTCTTCAGACAGCTCTTTGAAGGGAATGCATTGTGCTGTCATCCTATTAGTAAGACGGCTTGTTTTGAAGGTTACTTTACTCGGAATCTAAGGATCAGAGAAAGATTGGCAATCTTACCCGTGGGCATCCATGAGAGGACCTATCTTGGTAGATTGGGAAAAAGTAGACAGACCTCTGTCTGAGGCTCGTTCTAGCTCGACAAACTAAAGCCCTTGAGCGATTCCCTCATAGCCTTCATGATCCTCTGCGCCCATGCTTCCCTCACGATCATTGATCTCAGCCTCCGCAAGTTGAGATGGGTCCATAACAGAATGATCAAAGACATCCTGAACTTCAGAATCATAGAACCTCTCATCATCTGAAGAAGTCGAGATCTCACTTGAGTCAAGTAAGAAGGAAGCTTTAGCACTAGCCTTGAGCGAAATAGGTTGCAACTACAATAGCGGAGAATGCTACTCTAAATGCAGGGCTTAGGCCCCCTCTCACAAAAGGTGTGATGCTTGGATTGCGAAGTCTCTTTTTCATTCTCTTCGTCACGCTCTCCCCATTTTCTATTTACTTAGGATTATACTATAATCCTTTTCACTATTATTACACATTTCAGTCCTTCCTTTATCTTAAAGGATTTTCCTGCTTACAATAAAGGGGCTTCATTTCGTTCATACCAAGCCCGCTAGAAAGGGCTTAAACTTAGAGCATTTCATAAGGGCAGGACCGTAGTCGAGTAATCAGTTAAAGCCGGCATCGCGTCTCATAACAGGGAAATTTCTTTTAGATTCAAGCAAGAAGAAGAAAGGACTAATTGAAATGAAGACTTTTCATCATCTTAGCGCGGACCCTTCTGTTCTGCAACCAGTTCTTATACTCATACGCATCCTGGAAGAACTAATGAAGAAAGAGCTTGGAATTCTTATTTAAGGAGCATGGATCCTTCTCAATATGTCTTTGATCATTCTTCAATTGATCCA